TGGCCCAGGTGTCTATGAGGCTGTTCTTGAAGTGGGTGCCATTGTCCGACTCTATTCTCTCTGGGGTGCCGTGTCTCCACAGGACTTGCTTTTCAAGGCCGAGGATGGTATTCCGGGCAGTGGCATGAGGTACGGGGTATGTCTCTAGCCATCCAGTGGTTGCCTCTACCATGGTCAGCACGTAACGCTTGCCTTGGCGTGTTTGGGGAAGTGTGATGTAGTCGACTTGCCAGGCTTCTCCATACTTATATTTCGACCACCGTCCACCATACCATAGGGGCTTCACCCGCTTGGCCTGCTTGATGGCAGCACATATGTCACAGTCATGGATAACCTGTGAGATACTGTCCATGGTTAGATCCACCCCTCGGTCACGAGCCCATCTGTAGGTTGCATCTCTACCCTGATGACCAGAGGCATCATGGGCCCATCGAGCTAGAAACAATTCTCCCTTATGCTGCCAATCCAGGTCTACCTGGAAGACTTCAATCCTGGCAGCTCGATCCACCTGCTCGTTGTTACGATGCTCCTCATTAGCCCGGCTCTTGGGTACATGAGCATCTACGTGACGGACCTTCACACTCAGTTTTTCGACCCGGGCAGCGATGTCCTGCCACATCTCAGCTGCCCAGATGGGTTTCCCTTTGCGCTGCCAGCCGGCCTTTCTCCATCGCTCCAGCCATCCCCACAGAGCATTGGCTACCATCCACGAGTCAGTGTAGAGGTAGAGTCTCGGCCACTTCTCTCGTTCAGCGATATCTAAAGCCAGCTGAACTGCTTTCAGCTCTGCAACCTGACTTGATCCACCTTGTCCTTCAGTTGCTTCTGCAACTTGACGTGTAGGACTCCATACAGCTGCTTTCCACTTCCGGCTTGTTCCTACAATGCGGCAGGAGCCATCCGTGAAGAGAGCATATCGCTTTTCCTCTTCTGGTAGCTGGTTATATGGTGGGGCCTCCTCAGCTCGTGTCACCTGCTCCTCCTCTTCTTCAGTGGATAGTCCGAAACTCTCACCTTCTGGCCAGTTGGTGATGATTTCCAAAATCCCAGGGCGATTAGGATTTCCTATACGAGTTCGCTGCGTGATCAGAGCGATCCACTTACTCCATGTGGCATCAGTGGCATGATGGGTAGAAGGAGCTTTCCCTTTGAACATCCAGCCCAGTACTGGTAGTCGGGGTGCCAGGAGGAGCTGTGCCTCAGTGCCGATCACTTCTGAGGCAGCTCGAACTCCCTCATAAGCTGCCAGGATCTCTTTCTCAGTTGGGGTATAGCTGGCTTCAGATCCTTTGTATCCCCGACTCCAGAATCCCAGCGGTCGTCCTCGGGTCTCCCCAGGTACTTTCTGCCAGAGGCTCCAGGATGGGCCCTTCTCCCCGGCTGCAGTGTAGAGCACGTTCTTCACGTCCTGTCCTGTCCTGACTGGCCCAAGAGCTACTGCATGGGCAATCTCCTGTTTAATTTGCTCAAAGGCTTGTTGTTGTTCAGGGCCCCACTGGAAATCATTTTTCTTCCGTGTCACAAAGTAGAGAGGACTTACAATCTGACTGTACTCAGGAATATGCATCCTCCAAAATCCCACAGCGCCTAGGAAAGCCTGCGTTTCCTTTTTGTTGGTTGGTGGGGACATGGCTGCTATTTTGTTGATCACCTCTGTTGGAATCTGGCGACGTCCGTCTTGCCACTTCACTCCTAGGAACTGAATTTCCTGAGCAGGTCCCTTGACCTTACTTCGTTTAATGGCAAAACCAGCTCTTAGGAGGATCTGGATTATCTTCTTTCCTTTCTCAAAAACTTCCCCTGCTGTGTTCCCCCATACAATGATGTCATCGATGTACTGTAGATGTTCTGGAGCCTCACCCTTTTCCAGTGCAGTCTGGATCAGTCCGTGGCAAATGGTGGGACTGTGTTTCCACCCCTGGGGCAGTCGATTCCAGGTGTACTGCACACCCCTCCAGGTGAAAGCAAACTGTGGCCTGCACTCTGCTGCCAAAGGAATGGAGAAAAAGGCATTGGCAATGTCGATAGTGGCATACCACTTGGCTGCCTTGGACTCCAGCTCATACTGAAGCTCCAACATGTCCGGCACGGCAGCACTCAGGGGGGGTGTGACCTCATTGAGGCCTCGGTAATCCACCGTCAGCCTCCACTCTCCAGTGGACTTCCGCACTGGCCATATGGGGCTGTTAAAGGGTGAGTGAGTCTTGCTGACCACCCCTTGGCTCTCTAGCTCACGAATCATCTTGTGTATGGGGGTCACAGAGTCTCGGTCGGTGCGGTATTGCCGACGGTGCACTGTTGCCGTGGCCAGCGGTACCAATTGTTCTTCAACTTTCAGCAGTCCCACAGCAGAAGGGTCCTCTGATAGGCCAGGCAAGGTGTTCAACTGTCTGATTTCCTCTGTGTCCACAGCTGCTATGCCAAAAGCCCAACGAAGTCCCTTTGGGTCTTTGAAATACCCATTTCTTAGGTAGTCTATGCCAAGGATACACGGGGCCTCTGGACCAGTCACGATGGGGTGTCTGTGCCATTCCTTCCCAGTCAAGCTGACTTCAGCCTCCAGTACAGTCAGCTGTTGGGATCCCCCTGTCACCCCAGAAATAGAGACAGATTCTGCCCCGACGTATCCCGATGGCATCAACGTACATTGTGCGCCAGTGTCCACTAAAGCCTTGTATCTCTGTGGGTCTGATGTGCCAGGCCACCGAATCCACACAGTCCAATAAACCCGATTGTCCCTCTCCTCTCCCTGGCTAGAGGCAGGGCCCCTCTAACACTGGTCAGAACCTTGCCCATTGGAAACTGGTACTGCACTCACTCTTACTGACCTTCTTCCTTCACTTTCCTTCAGTTCTTGTACTCGGGCTGATAGTGCACGGGTAGGCTTCCTGTCCCACCGTCTCATGTCTTCTCCATGGTCTTTCAGAAAATACCACAACTCAGTCCGTGAGGCCTGCCCCCGTTTTCCATCCCACTTCCTCATATCTTCTCCATGCTCATGGAGGAAAAACCATAGATTGGCGCGTGGAGTGTACCCCTTCTCTCTGGCTGGGGGACGCCTGCTCCTGATGGCAGAGACTCTCGTTTGTTCTGGAGAAGCATGGAAGAGTCCTTCCATCTTCTCTTCCAGTTCAGCCAGTTTTGTTTCAACAGACGAGACGTGGGCTCGTAATGGGGCAGTGACAGTGTCCTCATAAATCCTGAGTTTGCTGACCAGTACTCCCACCTTGTCTTCTCCCTCTCTCCACTGCAATGTTGCCAGGTAGCGAGAATACATTTCTGGCCCAAGCCGTACAAATTTTAACCACATCTGAGATGTACACTGCACACCATCCGGACTTTTAGGGAATCTCTCGTCTTCCGAAAAGATTATCTCCAGTATGGCTAATTCCCTTAAGCACCGGATACCTTGTTCCATCGTGTTCCACTGTCCTTGCTGTACATGGAGGTCCTCCTTACAAAGATATCTCTCCCTCACACTTGACAACAGTCGCCGCCAGAGGCTGAGAGTTTCCTGCCTCTTTCCAATGCCCTGATCAATGACCACATCTCGAGACAGGGATCCCAGCTGCCTTGCCTCACTCCCATCTAGAATTGTATCATTGGCCGCAGCATCCCAGATTCGGAGCAGCCAGGTCAAGATGGACTCGGC